AGAAAGAAGGAAATGGCGTAAGGATCGAGGAGGAAAAAACCACCATCATTATGCATAAATGACATGATTGTGAATATAGGAAAGTCAAGAACCTACACGCTGCCGGGCGCCAGAGGCTCACGCCCGTAATCCTAGCTACTCAAGAGACAGGGATCAGGAAGATCGTGGTTCAAAGCCAGCCCGGGAAATAGTTCATGACACATGACACCCTATCTCAAAAAAAACCATCATAAAACAAGGACAGGCGGAGCGGCTCAAGTGGTAGAATGCCTGCCTGCCTAGCAAGTGTGAGGCCCTGAGTTCAAACCCTAGTACCACCCCCCAAAAAAGTTGAAAAAATTAAAATGTTTAAGTATACTTAATATATTTTCATTAAAATTTGAGTCAAACAATCGTAGAACACTTGAGCCAGCCTAACACAATTTGAAAGCACTGATATGTTCCAATTCCAAGGGAGGGAAATTTTGATTAAATTTTGTGACAGATTTTAGTCACAGAGCAAATCAGCTGTCCAAAGTGGAAACAAAAGCTAGGCCTCAGACAGCGTGGTGGTGCACACCTGTGAGCCCCGCACTTGGAAGACTGAGGCAGAAGGATCAGGAGTTCCAGGCCAGTCTGGGTTACATAGCAAGACCCTGTCTCACAAAACAAAACAAAACCAAAAAACAAAAAAAAAAAAAGCCAGATCTCAGCTGGTGTGGTGGCTCATGCTTATAATCCTAGCTACTTGGGAGGCTGAGATTGGAAGGATCAAGTTTCAAGGCCAGCCCAGGGAAATAGTTCACAAGACTTATCTTCAAAAATAACCAGAGCAAAATGGACTGGAGGTGTGGTTCAAGTGGTAGAGCACCTGCTTTGTAAGGATGAAACCCTGAATTCAACCCCCAGTTCCATTAAAAAAAAAAAAAAAGCCAGTCCTTTCGTTGTCCCCTGTACTCTCCTCTGGACTCAAGATGGAGAAGAGAGGGAGGGACATTTGAAAACATACACTAGACAGGTGACCTAGTGAGATGACAGCAATCCTGAAAGCCAGTCCCCAAGTCTTCAGTGTCCTTTCTCTTAAACACACTGCTGCAGTCCAGAGCCCCTGCCTGGGCCCCAGTGATGGAAGGGGTGAGGACTGCTGTGGCTTACAGTGGTAAATGTCAGTGAGGCCATTGGAAGGCTGGTCCCTGGTCAGTGGCCCAAGGCGCCTGGTTCCCAGGGCGGCCAAGATTGGAGAAACTCATACAAAGGAGAGAGCCGAAGCAGCTCAGGCGTGTATTCAGCGTGCCTTGGATGGCACCTCCAGGCTAGAGGCAGCTTGGGCATCGAGACACTGGCTATCACTGTTACACACGCACTTGTCACACACGAAATGTGGGCTGAATCTGCCTGCTCTCAATTGCCTCAGTTTCCCTGGGAGGGTGCTGTTCTCTCTCAATGGCTTAGCTGCTGTGACTGTGGGAATCAATGCCCAGGGGGTCACAGCCTCGGCTGACATTGTTTTCAGATCACGGTCCGTCCCTGGTGCTCACAGTGGAGAAAAGGCCACTGTGCAGTCAAAAGTCTGGACTCAGCCGTGACTAATAGCTGCCATGTTTTGAGTGCTCAAAACATGAGCGAGGTGTCAAGTATTGTCCATGAGTGTCCTTGACACCCACCTCAGCCCTATGAACAGGAAGGTGCATGATGCTGGAGGGAAGAGGAGGCGATCTAGAGGTCACATGGAGGCTGAGAGGGGAGAGAACTCAAAGCCAAGTGTGAGTGCCATGTTTACATCGTATACTCTGCCATCTCAGGTGAGCTGAACAGGTAGGCTTCCCTGGGGCCCTACTAGGTACCCTTAGCACATGTATTTCTGTCCATGCATGGGGTGGCAAACAGATACTACAGCCCAACTGAGATCTGAGCCCTGGCTCTGCCCTGTGTATCCACAGCAGGACGACAGCAAGAAACTGCATCACTGTTTTCCTCATCTCTAAAAGGTTAAGAAGAGTTGGATAGTCTTTTGAACCCTGGATCAGCCAATACAGAATTGCTAAGGAATGTCTTCATTTTCTGTTGCTTGCTCATGGTTCTGGAAGCTACAAGTCCAAGAACATGACATTGGCCTCTGGTAAGCCATAGTCCAGCCCTCCTGTGCTCAGGATCACAGCCAGCACTTCAGTACTACGCTAAGTCACCAATAAAAAGTACAAAAATGTAGGCAGGTGCTGGTGACTCATGCCTGTAATCCCAGCTACTCAGGAGGACAGTCATTCAAGGATAGCTAGGGCAAACAGTTCAAGAGACCCTATCTCCAAAATAACCAGACCATAATGGACTGGAGGTGTGGCTCAAGCAGCAGAGCACCTGCTTTGTGACTGCAAAGCTGAGTTCAAACTACAGTCCCACCAAAGAGGAGAAAAATGAAAAAATGTGAAACATGGGCTGGTGGAGTGGCTCAAGTGGTAGAGTACCTGCCTAGCAAATACACAGCCCTGAGTTCAACACCCCAAATCTCTCCACCCCCCACCTCCCAAAAGCCCCAGGCACAAAGTAGAGTTGGACATTGCTTACAGGATTGCTGAAATAAGGCAGGACATCATCTTGTGAGACCCTAGTTGGGAATGGGCGCAATCAGGTCACTCAAGTTTTTGGCTGTGAATGACTACAACCAGGCCTCAAGTGTTGAGGGGAAGGCTGGGGAAGCCACAGTAGTGTAAGAGTAGCTTTCAGGACCACTTGCTACCATCGCAACCCCAAAAGCCTGCTGCCCCAGCGAGCAGCAGCTTTGTTAAGCTGCATATGGCTTAGCAAAGAGCCCGTCCTCTGCTGCTTAAGGAAGGGCAACGGGGACCTCCGAGTCCTCCTCTGTAAAATGGAGGGAGCAGTTCTGTCTCCCCCTAGGATGGGCATGGAGGGCGGGCACTGTCTTGGTAGATGCTGGAGAGGCCCTCAAGACAAAGGATAGCAAGATGGCCACTGTTCAGTCACAGAGGACTTTGCTCCCCCTTCCAGTGCAGGCCAGACATGGACCCAGGGCCAGCAACCCCCTGCGGAATTGTCAAGCCACTTTCTGGCCATTAATCCCTAAGAGTCTATCAGGACCATTTGCATCAGCCCCTCTTAAAAAACCCCAGCTGGCCCCTAGTGGACAGGAGTGGGGCTTGGGAAAGTGGTCCTGTAGCCAGCTGCAAGCTGGGGTCCCTGAGTGTCCGATGGCCCCTTGGTCCAGGTGCTAAAATATGCCATCTGTGCCATGGCCAAACCTGCTGTGAGGACTGAGGACATCATGGATGGCTGCCATTGGGAAAGGCACTGGGAAGACAGTGCCCTGTGCCTGCAGAGAAGCCAGGGGTATTGCTGAGTTCCGTTAGCCAAAACTTCCTATCTGCAGTCCTAACTCTTGGGTGGGGTTGGGGTACGCTCAACGGGGGCTGTGATGAACTGTGAACTTGGGCACCTGGAACAGCCTTAAGTGTGCGTGTGTGGTGAGGCAAGTGTTCTGAAGACAGACTGGCCCTGCCCCGCCCCTGCCTCCCTAAACGCATAGACTGCCCTCAGTGATGACCATGCAGCTTTCTTAATGGAACACAATCGCTGAACTTGGTACATTTCGAGCACTTTAGCCTTCCAGCACAGCAGACTGCTGATGAAAACCATCTTCCGAGGGCGGGCGCCATGTTAATGAGAGGCCAAATTTCATATGCTTGCAAACTTTCACCCCTCCACCCCCCGCCTCCTGCTGTACTGCACCCCTCCCCCCAATAAAAGATTGCATCAGAGAGAAAGGGAGAGAGATTTCCATAATTTATAGTATGGGCATTTCACTGGGGACAAGCGCTAATCTGTACTTACCGATACATTTAAGAAAATGCATCCTCCCGCAAGCCTGCACCATTTACGACTCTTGGCACAAACCGCAATGCTCAGTCTTCAATTAAGGGACACCTTAGGGTTCATTATCACACAATCGCTCCCTGTGAACCATGCCAAATGCTGTTTTGGCACGGAGCTTGGAAGATGAATTAGAAGGAAGTCTTCTCTGTAATGCCCTCTCCCTAACTCCCATTACCGTCATCAGCGCTGATGCCCTCCTCTCCCCCCACCCCAAGTGGCTTTTACTATTCAATTTCTCAACGTCAAACTCGATTCTCTAGAGGTGTAGTTAAAGATGCCACATCTCCTTTTTGTCTTCCGGCCTTAGCGTGGCCCAGATGGGCCGCTCTCTACCCCCTTTTGGGCAAAAGGAGCCACAGATGTGTCTATCCATAAGAGTATGCTGAAGACAAGGGACAAGGACTGGGGAGACACTCACACACGCATGCATGCACACACAGTGCACAGGGAGGGTTGTGGGCAGAGTCCAGCAGACCTGTGTGTCTTACTGGATGACTCCAGGTAAAGACTACAGGCAAAGGCAGTGCATATTCAGATGCTCTAAAGCCACAGCTTCAATCGATGGAAAGATGGAAAACAGAATTCAAAGGCTGATCTTTATTCTTCAATAGTCCTGTGGCCCTCCCTTTTGGTTTCTTTGATTTACACAACAGAAGGAAACCAAACACCTGCTGGCTTCTCCAGCTCTCCAGCAATCCAGGGTCTGGGCTGAGACAGGAACACTACCACAGAGCCACAGGTGAACACTGGGGTCACAGGTGGCAGCAGCTAGAGAAACAAGGACCAGGCCATGGGTAGGACACGAGTTTTCAGGTGAGGAGGTGCTGGGGAGGTATGGGGGTGGAGAGGGGAAGCAGGTCTGTCTCAGTCACAGGACACTGGGCTGATCTGGCACCTTCCAGGCCCATTTAAGATGACCAGTCTCGGAACAAGGAAACTCCAATCCCTTCTTGGGGTCAAGTCACTCAGAAATGTTTGAGTGACAGAGAAGAGGGCTGATTGTCACCCACCAGGGCTCTTGTCAAGATATTCAAATAAAAGCAGCTTAAGGCAGTTGCTGGGCATTTAGGCTTGCCCCTGCAATTCGGGCTGATGCAGGGAAGGAGGGACGAGCACACAGCAGACAGACTGCAAATACTTGGCCCACAAGATGCCTTGTGGAAATTTTATTACATAGTGTAAAATGTCAGTCAAATAAAAAGAACACCTTTTTAAAACGACATGCATAACACTTCCCAACTGCCTTCTTTAATAGTTAGACATTTCAAGCATTGCAAGAAAAATAAAGAGAAAAACCAGAAGGTGTAACTTCAGTACATTTCAAACGGAATGTCCTCAGGTCAATTAAAAATGCAAGAAAAAATAGCTTCAATTCCGTTTTTTTTTTTTTTCCTTTAAAAATACATGTTATCTGTACAAGATACACTACAGTAAACATTGAAAATCATATTATCCCTTTTAATAAATCAAAATTATTTAATTCATACTGTGGTTAATACTAGATTTACTTATTCATCTAGTTAATTTGACAAATATTAAGAAAATATTCAAAAGAAAAAAGCAAAACACATCTTGGAATTAAAAAATAGTTACTACATTTTATATGGTTTAATGTTCCACAGTGTTTGTTAAAAGTTATATTGAATTTCTTTTTAATATTAAAAATAACAGTATTTATATTTCTGAGAATAGAGAAAGGCTTTTTGTTTTGTTTTTAAAACCAGCTTGGAGGTCTTAGATACACAATTGCACCTGGTAATAGAGACATGAGAAAATGTCTGCTAAACACACGGACGCGTTTTATATTACCCTTTAGAACTCTAGAAATTATACAAACCCTAAAAAATGCCCCTCCCAATCCCTGTTGGACAGCAATACAATTATCTGTCTCAATTCAGAATTCACATAATTAATTACAATACATAATAGTTGTTTTTTAAAAAAATGCAATAAAACCAGACAGCCAAGATACAAGAAATTAGAAGTAAAACACTACTGAATTTACATTTAAGAATATTTAAATACTGTTTAAAATTTTTAAAAAGAATTTGTTACATACCACCTAAGACTTCCAAGCCACTTTCTGTTGCAACAGAAAAAAACTGTAAATAAAAAGACACAAAAACAACAAAACAAAACAAAACAAAACACACCATGTTGAAATGTCACTGCTCTGAGGCATTTTCTGGCACCTGAATTTGCAGGTATTGTTCCAAAAAGAATCCCAGAGCCTACACTTTGAAATAACAAACACAAATAATGAAATAAAAATTATCAGCAATTTTTAGTATCTACCTTTTCCGATTTTTAGAAAAATTTTGTTAATCTAAATATAGTGTTTCACAGAACAAAGGTTCTTCATCAAAAGGTTTGCAAATCTAGAAACCTCTGTTACAAACAGGTTTTCTCTCACACTGATTCGGGGGAAGAGCCAGCTGCAGACGCCCATCTACTGCTCCTGTGGGGGGGGGGGAGGGAGAGGGTCAGCCTTAGGGCCATGGCGGGAGGTGATGGGTGCCCCTGCCAAAGCACCTCTGGGTCTCAGGTCAGGAAAACCTCTCTGGAAGAAGATGGGGCTTTTCTTCTGCTGGGAACCCTGGGCAGGGACAAGGGAAGGGAGCAAGTACTGCTTCTCCTTGGTCCCCACCAGTCCTAACAATTGGCCTCCACAAGGCCCAGCCAACTGGGCAGTGAGATGCCAGGGCTGGAGGTAACCAGCATGCTTTCCTGGGGCCTACTGGCATCAGGTCACCTAAAAGGTGCCCTGTGGAAACACTTTAATGGGAAATCCATTTTTGGCCTTGGGGTGGACAGAGCTCTTCAGGTTTCTGTGCAGGACGGTGAGCTGGCACTCCTCCTGCCCAGTCATGGGTGTGCACAGCAGCCACCTCCTGCTGCTGCCCACCTTCTTCAAGAGCAATCTGCTGGAGTGTGCCACCATTCAGTGTTGGAGGTAAGCTTGGCACTCATTTATAATCAGGGAAACTTTAAGGCCCAGAGGGAATGAGAGAGCAGCCATCAGCACTGAGCAGGTACTTCCTTTTAAGGGGCTACCCAACCAATTTTCCTTTTCCTGAGCCCCAACTTCTCTCTGGGGCAAAGAAAGGGACAGAGTAGTTACAGCTGGGCTCTCAGGGGATCACAGGGCCTGAGCTGCTCCTCCATGGCTCAGTGTGAGGCAAGCACAGAGCGGGGAGACAGGAGTTAGAGCTGCTCTGGGACACATTACAGTGCTGGGGACTGGCTACAGACCTGGCTGTGGGCCTGAGCCTGCCCTAATGTCTGCCCGTAGAAAGCGACTTGCTGTCTGTAATATTCTGCCCAGGCCATTGTGTAGTCTGGCGGGGAGCTGGCCTGAGGAGCAGCACTGGCAGCATGACCTGGTTGACAAAGGAAGAAAACACTGGAGTTAACTAATGAGAGGGGAATAGGGGCCATGGGGAGGTCCCTTCCCTAAAGCCCTCGGGCATCTGCTCCCCCTCTGGATATGGTGCCTGAGCCCAGGTTGTAATGCGACATGTGGCACTGCAGAGAGCTTACTACAGAAAGTGTGACTGGCCTTTTGTTGCTGGGTCCCTACCACACCCCACTTGAGGATATACCCTCTCTACAGAAGAACATCACCTGCCTTGCAGTTCCCAGCACTGGAAGACAGAACAGGTAGACGGAGAGGGGAGAAAGGAGCCCACATTTGTCTGTACAGGGTAGCCAGGCCCACAAGAGAGCATGAAACACTGTGTGAGAGGTCTGGGAACAATGGACAACTGAACTATCCAAGTTTCCCTGGTGATGAAGATCTCCCCAATACCCTGCCTCTGGCCTCCATAAGGTCTACTGTCCTGGTGAGTGCTAAGTCCAACTCGGGGCGAACCAGCTTTCTGACCGCCTTTGACCTAAGCATAGTCAAGTTACTACAAGCAACACCCCTCAGATGCAAGACACCAGATTTCTCTGGAGGCCAGAGCCCAACCTCAGCCAGTAACTGGAATGCGTGGAGGGTCAATGCTGACCCTCACTCACTAGGGTGTTTTTCCTTGCTATCTGCAACCCCTAGCTTGGCTGATATATGAAGAAAAACAAACGACCCAGCACTCAGTCAGTTTTAGGATTCCTCCCCTGAATTTCATCATCTCTTTTCTCTTCAGCTGCCCTGAAACAGTCCAATAGATGGGGCAGCAGTGACGCTGTCCAAGAGCAAGACACCCAGCTGGGCTGCATCCACACACAGCACCCCATAGGAGCTAGCTTTACTGTGACAGGTGACGCTGGACCTGAGGCCACACCTCTGGGCAGCAGCCTACCTCCAGGCCCTTCTGAATCCAGCAGGGGAAAGAGTAGGGACTGGCATGCAGGAACAAAGCCAGCAATGGAGGAGATAAAGTGAGTACTGTAACCCAGTCACACAGGGAAGGCACTAGAGACCCGATTATACCACGCTGTGGACAATTTTGAAGCCTATGGGTGAGCAGCTGGGACAGGACTGCTGGTCCAGAGGCCTTGGCACTCACTCTGCTTTTTGTAATAGTCTTCCCAGGCCTTGCTGTAGTCAGGCTGGCTGCTCTGCGGTTGGCTCTGCTGGCCTGTGAGAAAAACAAAAAGCAGTTAGGACATTTGGCCCTGCCTAGCCTCGGCCCAGCTCTCTGCATATCCTAGGCTCACTACTGGCCCATGTGAGTCCACAGCTTCCGCCTGTAAGGCACAGCAGGCCACCAGGTGAAGGCTGCAACTATGGTCCTTGTGAGGCAAGGACTGGCAACCAGTGGGGTGTGGCGAGCCTTGACATGCCCCCCCAGTTAGAGCCAAGCTGTAGCTAGCAAAGTCTTGAAGGGGCTGCAGCAATAGCCTTCCCAGACTCCCTGAACCTGCCTTCAAAAAGACAAAGGGTCCAGACAATCCTGGACACCCTACACCTGGCCCTTCTGCTCAGCAACCCACAGTTGCCCATCTAGGCACAACAGCAGGGAGCATGCAGACAGCCATGCAGAGCCTGACATTAAGGTGACAGCCTTGGAAAAAGCCACACCAGCAAGGTGCATGCAGTGGGAGGTGCTCGACTCAGCCTCCTTGGGACAAGTGGGATGAAAAGGGAAGACATCTGCTGGGGCAGATTCTGTGCAGAGCTCTGGATGCCTCCCCTGTGCCGCGCTAGCAGTGGAGACCACAATAAGGGGAGACAGAGTTGGGGCCAAAATGAAAAGATTCAAAGACTTAGCACAGGATGAGGCAGGACCTTTTGTTTCTGCTGAGGTCAAGGATGGGTGAGCGTCCACCTGTGGAGGCTCACAAAAGGCCCTTCAGCGTGTTCCCTATTACAATTGCAGCCTACAGCAGGCAGAAGGATGTGCCGCTATATATGCCTCACAGCAAAGTGCTTTCTCCACTTGTTCACTTACTGAAGCCTGGTTGTGAGGAAGAGGACAGTTACCGAGCTCCACGCGTGGGGCTGGGGAGGAAGCAAGAAAGGAGAGCAGACATCCTCCCTTTCCTCCAGGGGGCCGGGGTGGGGGCCCAGAAGAGTGGGATGTGGGCAGCAACCTCCCCTCAGGCATGGAAGGCAGGTGGCAGGACTCTGCTTCCTAACAAGATTTCACTGACCAAAACCAGAGTCTTGAACGATCAGGCTGCCACATGGCGGCCAGAAAGCAAGGCCTGTTCACTTACTCTGCTTGCCCCCACACCTTGGCCAATCTCACTGGGCTTGCCTGTGGTCTCTGCTGAATCATGGCTTAAGGGCCAAGCTTTCCACAGGAGAGAATTCACAGAAGGAGGACAGATCTTTCAGGCTCTACTGTCCTCACAGTCTAGGGGTTCTCACAGGTCCTCTGGCACAACAGGGCAAATGTGAATGCAATTCCATCACCCTGCTTCCCGGGGAGCACAAGGATCAGAACAGGATTTGACAATGAGAACACTGCCCTCCACAGGGCCATGCAGCAAGGAGGTGAAAAACTGGGGAACTAAGTGCAAGCAGGGTCTGGGATACAGCAAGCACAGTAAGTAGGGACTGACAGCAGGGCCCAGATGGCAGACAGGTGCTGATCATGAAATTTCTGCTCAAGTTTTAAACACTGCATAAGAAGGTTTTGGGGAAAAACACAACTATATAGTTGTGCTTGCAAGTCCTTGAGAAACCAAACCCAAACACTTTATTTCACATAGGGCAGAATAAAGGTACTGGGGAGGGGAGTGTGCTTAAGGCCCTGCTCCACAGAAAGGGGCCATGGCATGGGCAGTAGCCTGGTGTGGTTCCTGGCTGACCTATAGCTGTGCTGAACAAGGCTTTCCAGGCAGACGGACATTTAGGTGGGTCAAAAGAAACCTACTGTCCTAAGGTAAGGAGGAGGGGCTGGATCATGCACAAGCACTTCTCCACAACCAGTTGCCCCTTTTTCAGGACCTGGTTATACACACTTATAATCCCAGCACTCAGGAGACTGAGGCCAGGAGGATCCTGTCTTTGAGATCAGACAAGGTTACACAGTGATAAAACACCAAAAAATATTAGGGCTCGCAGAGTGGTTCAAGCGGTAGTGTGCTTGCCCTGTCTAGCAAGTATGCAAGTATGACACCCTGAGTGTGCAAACCCCAGTACTACAAAAAAAAAGGACCACTTTCTACTTTCTAAGAAGATACTGGAGACAAGACAGAAGGTCACCTTGAGGCAAGATGGGGAAGTGGGAAAGGGCCCCCAGCAACCAGGGAACTGATTAGAGGAGCAGGGCAGGGCATGGGGGAGGAGTGCAGAGCTCTGGGGCCCTCGAAGTGCAAAAATAAGAGGAGGGCAGGAGAGGTTCAGTGGAAACATCCCCACAACCAACCTGTTTATGGGGCTGAGAGGACGTGTGGGTCAGGGAGAGCCAGCCCGGGCTCCCAAGTCAGCTGGAGGCCGATACCGTTTTTTCTGAGCCCCAACTGTGCACATGCATTCCGCTATGTCCCCCATCTCTGGAGAAGGGCAACCTGTACCTGGCACCAGGCCACTTCTGGATTTCCCAGGAGGGCAGATGCACCCCACCCCTCAGGAGTCACTTACTTGGGACCTGCTGTGTGGGCTGCTGCCATGCTTGGTAGGTGCTGCCCCAGCCTTGGGTCAAAAAGGCTGGAGGACCACTGTGGATGACAAAAGAGAGTCACTTATGTCTGTGTGTGTCAAAGGCGCCCTCCGCCCTCTAACCCCCATTGCCTGCTTCTGTATTGACTACCTCCCTCACCCCACCAGGCAAAATGGCCATGCCAGTAGCAGAGGGCCACATGACACCTCTAGCACTGTCTGTTCCAGGCCACCTACCTTACAGGTGTGCTGTGGGGGTTTCCATTCACCTTAGCAGCAATGTTGGTGAAGCACCCTGAGCCCCTTGGAGGAAAGGCGCTGCAGGAAGAGGAGCAAGTGAAACCAGCTGAGCCTGGTGGAGAGAGGCTCTGCCCACTCCCCTTAAGAAAATGGCAGTGACAGAAAGAGCCCCCTGGCTCTGGGGGGCTTCACTTATCACTGGTCAGTGAGCTACAGACAGGCAGGAGGGACCACTGGTGAGAGGAAAGCAAGCAGTGCTTTCTTGGAAGAAGCGGAAAAGAAAGAAGGGTGGGGAGTGACGGAGGCTCCGTGGTGAGGCAGAGGCAGAAAACTCACTTTTGATGAGGCGCAGCAGGCGGCTGGCTGAAGGGGCTCTGTCCGAAGGCTGTGGGGGCTCCAAGGCTGGCACCCTGTGTAGGCACAGAGGAGCTCTCACCCCCGCTGGCAGTGCCTCACCCCACTCAGTCCCGCCCGAGGCAAAGCCCATGTCTGGGAGGCAAGTCAAGTGAAGGAGACAGCTCTGCACTCACACTAGCTTCCTTCTCATGCAGGCCGTATCTGCAGCAGTGCTGCTGCCCCGTGAGTGACCAAGACCACCACACGGCCAGTCCTGGCACCACCACAATTGCCCTGGCATGTCACCCGGGGAGGACCAACCTGCTTGACTCTCCCGTCAATTTAGGCTGGCCCAGGGCTCTTTCTGCCATTCTACGTCCCCATTGAGGTAAGCAGTGGCCCATCTGTCCTCCATCAACACTCCCTTTCTTTATCTGCTTTGAGGTGCCTGAAACTAAAGCCAGAGTCAATGAATGCTGCCTGCAGGCTGGCGGCCAGGGCGATGCCCCAGGGAGCCCAGGGCAGTGCTGGGGGAGGCTGCTGCCCAGCTGCTCATCTAAGCCTGCAGGGGACATGCTCTGGGGACTGACTTCTGTGGCCTGGCGAGTCCTGCCAGGAGCTTCCTTCATTGCATCTGGGCCTGAGCCTGGCCCTGGTATTCCCTGGGCCTCGGACCTTCTACTTGGCAAAGGAAGAAGGGACACCCCCATGTGATGCAATGACAGAAAGGCACAGGAAGTACAAGGTTCTGGGGAAAAGCAGGTACCTTGGCCATCCAAAAGCAAATCCAGCTAGTATTAAGGCAGGTGGGGAAAGGCCTGTGTACGTACGCCAACTTTCTCATCTACGAGATGTCTGGCCACCTCGATCTGCTGAGGACTGCCCCTGATGGTGAATATCCGCAGGCTGGGGTCGGTGTTAGGAGGGGGATTCCGCTGAAGCTCCACATGTGCTCCCGACTGCTGGTTGATGCTTTTGATGTTTTCACCCCCTGCAGGTAGGAGATTCAGGGTAAGTGGCAAGGGTGGTGAATGCAAGGCCATATGGCTGTTTGTGGGAGAGGCTGGAACCTCTGTACACTAGATCTTATTGAGAAAGAGAAGCACTTTCAACTTACTGACCAAACCCAGGGCTTTCTCATCTGCAGCACCAGTTCTCTGGAGCAAAGATGACCTGTCAGAGCTGTACTATGGTCTCTGTGGCCAAGGGGCAGAGAGCCAGTAGGCTGAGGCCCAGAGATCTGCAGGCCACAGAGCTCACCCTTGGAGGCAGCTCATAGTCCTCCCACACTAGCCATGGTCGTCTGCCCAGGGAAGGCACTGGATCCTTCTGTGTAAGGGAGACCTGACAGCCCCAACATACACAATGCGGGCCTTCAGCACGGGCATGAACCACTGCACCACTCTCCCTCCTTTCACGGGTCAAACAGCCGGCCATAGCCCCAACAATGCCTGGAGCCCACTTGGGCCTTCTCAGGTCCCCTCTCAGGGAGCTGCTGCCTCCATGGGTAGAATGGGTAGATAGGTGACAGTGTGATGCAAAAGAGGCAGTGCGAGGAAAAATTGTGTGTGTGTGTGCGCGCCCGCGTGGTAATTAACAGGGGGCTGAGTGGAGTGGGCTAATAAAAATTTAGTTGGACTCTTTGAAAAACCTGTGGGAGTCCCAGCCTCTTAATGAAATTTGCATAACAAAAGCCCCACCAGCTTAACAATACTCTGATTCTTCTTCTGAAATTCCACAGAACTTATAGATCTATTCTGTCAATGTGGGTGGGGGGGGGTATTAGGAGGACCTACAACATAAGCAAAAGTTAGGATACAGTTTTGCAAAATGAGAAAAAGATACAACGTTGAAAGTCTGGCTTAGGAGAGCAGGAAGCCAGCCCCAGGTGATCAAAGACAGGGCAAGGGTCTGCTGGCTTTGCTCCTCCACAGCCAAAACCAGACTGAGACAATGTGTGTCACTGCACTGACACGTACCCCACAACCCTTAACACATCTCAGTACCCTACCAAGCAAGAAGGGGAGGAGAGGACAAAGAGAAGGGAAAAGATATATATATATATATTTCATCCAGAAGGAAGTCAGGACTCTATGGGGGTCAAGAAGCAAAACTGCAAGCTCTGTCTGGTAGTCCTTCCTATAGGCACAAGGGCAGTTCACACTGAGGAAGACCGGGGACTGCGCATTTGGGTCTTGGGTCCCAAGCTTGATTCAGCATCAGCCTGGTTTTATTTAG